GTTAGAGCCACAGTGCCAGGCACGCGGGAAGTGCCAGGGAGATTTTGTTCGTGGCATCGCCCACCCCCTCTGTCACGGGGCACAGGGGAGTGCAGAGCGCACCAGGAGTGCTTTGGGGGAGTGAGGCTGATTCCTTTGGTTTCCATTTCTACCCAAGTGTGCCCCAGGGCTCCCCAATTCATCCCACAGAGGGGAGTCTCCAGAGGGCACTGGAGAAGATGTGGGGATGCCCATTGCCCTGGACGGCTCTGGGCTGCGGAGTCCGGGCCGTGGTGACAGAGGTATGAGCTGGGGGGGTGCCCTCCTTGGCGCAGCCTCCTTCCAGGCGGCCTTAGCTGTGACCAGCCTTGTCTACAGGCACCCGCTCTTGCCTCGGAGCTAAACGGGACTCTGCCCCCTGACCCTGGACCCATCAAGGGGCCAGGAGGGCTTCCTGGATACAGTAAACTGGGCAGAAGGCCCAGCGTGGACCTTGGCACTCTCGGTTGCAAGTGACAGAAGCACAAACTGGCTTTACCCAAAAGAGGCATGACTGTCCCATGTGATTAGAATATCTCGAGGTGGCATGAACTTCAGGCAGAGCTGGATCCAGGGGCTCGGGGGGGCATTTTCAAGTCTCTGTCTCTCTGTAGTCTTCCGTGTTGGCTTCATTCTCAGTGGGCTGTCTTCTGTCGTGCCTGCCAGCGGCTGTAGGCCCCCAGCAAAGGAGAGTATCTCTCTTCCGTGGGTCAGCAGAAGTCCCAAAGAGGGTTTTCAGAGGATTGTGGTCACATGACTGTCCCCAAACCAGTCACTGAGGCTTGTGAGGGACAATGCTGACGAGCCAGCCTGGGTCACGTGGCCCCTGAGCTGAGGGACTGAAGTGGGAGAGACAATCCCAGCAGAAGTAGAAATAATGGCCCCTCCCAACAGGACCTTGGGGGTCCCCTCCGCTATAAAATGGGGCTCCTTGTGCCGTTTCCCCTACCAGAGTGATGGTGAGGTCTGAATGACAGCAAGGGACTCTGGGCTCCACTTCCTCTGGGTAAAGGGGCCTCGACTGTCCCAAGTGTGTGTCTCTGTTGTTTGGTGTCTTTGACCTTGAGACAGAACCAGTGGGGTGGGCGTGAGAGAGCGACAGGGGGGTCGGCTTCGCGTGGCCTCAGGTGGGCCTTCCAGCCGGGAGTGCCCACTCCTGGAGAAGACTGCCCCGAGAGGTGATGAGCTCCCCGTCACCGAGGTGGATGAGCCAAGGCTCATTTGTTGGAGACTTGGCAAAGGAGTTTCTTCATCCAGGGCCTCCGTGGGGCTCTCCCAGTTGTCAGCTCTGTAGAAGAACTGATGATTGGGCAGAAAGGCCTTCCCTGGTAGGGGGGCCTCTGTGTCCGGCTTTGGGGCGGCGGCTCCTCAGGAGCCCCTGGCCTTTGGCGACACCGCCGCTGGGCCCCCAGGCCGGCTCTCCAGGAGCGCCACACACAGTCATTCTCCCAGCCCCCAGCCCCGCCCCGCTCTGCCGTTTGAGGAGCGGGACCGGCTCTCTGGATGGGCCCAAGTCCCTGTGCCCAGGGCTACTGTCCACGTCCTCTCCCGCCTGCCGTTGCCCAGGAAGTGGCCTAATTAGATCCCCAAGAGCCATGTTTACCCGTTCTGGGTTCCCACGGGCCCCCCGGGGGACCTTCCAACCGCTCCTCCTCTCTCCACGCCTGCCTCAGCCGGGCTTCGCGTGCCTGGCCGGGCAGGTCGGTTCTGGGGTGAGAGGTGCCGCGCGCGCG